GTCTCATAAAGCAAATTGGAGACAATCTAATCGTCCCTGGAGGAGTTAAAACCATAGAAGCCAATGGGAAGATGGTGATCCCTGGAGGAATCGATGTCCACACTCACTTGCAGATGCCATACAAGGGGATGACCGCAGTGGATGACTTCTTCCAGGGAACTAAAGCAGCCCTGGCTGGCGGAACCACCATGATCATTGACCATGTGATCCCTGACCCAGAGGCCAGCCTGACAGAAGCGTATGAGAAGTGGCGAGAGTGGGCCGATGGGAAGACCTGCTGTGACTATTCCCTGCATGTGGACATCATCCACTGGAACGACAGTGTCAAACAGGAAGTACAGATGCTCATCAAAGAAAAAGGAGTTAACTCCTTCATGGTTTACATGGCCTACAAGGATTTGTACCAGATGTCAAACACAGAGCTGTATGAGATATTTAGCTGCCTGGGAGATCTAGGTGCAATAGCTCAAGTTCATGCCGAAAATGGGGATATCATTGAACAGGAACAAACCAGGATGCTGGAGATGGGAATAACTGGCCCAGAGGGCCATGTGCTGAGTAGACCAGAGGAGCTGGAGGCAGAAGCCGTCTTCCGCGCCATCACCACTGCTAGCCAGACCAACTGCCCTCTGATGAGCAAGAGTGCTGCTGACATCATCTCGCAAGCCAGGAAAAAAAGGAATGTGGTGTTTGGTGAGCCTATCACAGCCAGTCTTGGCACGGATGGGACACACTATTGGAGCAAGAATTGGGCCAAGGCTGCTGCGTTTGTGACCTCTCCACCTTTGAGTCCAGACCCAACAATCCCCGACTACATCAACTCCTTACTGGCCAGTGGCGACCTGCAGCTTTCGGGGAGTGCTCACTGCACATTCAGCACTGCACAGAAGGCGATTGGGAAGGACAACTTCACAGGAATCCCGGAAGGGACCAATGGCATCGAGGAGCGGATGTCCGTCATCTGGGACAAGGCAGTGGCCACAGGGAAGATGGACGAAAACCAGTTTGTGGCAGTGACGAGCACCAATGCTGACAAAATCTTCAACATGTATCCACGGAAAGGGAGAATAGCGGTGGGGTCGGACAGCGACCTGGTCATATGGGATCCTGATGCAGTGAAGATTGTCTCAGCTAAAAGCCACCAGTCGGCAGCTGAATACAACATCTTTGAAGGAATGGAGTTGCGTGGGGCTCCGCTGGTCGTCATATGCCAGGGGAAGATCATGCTGGAGGATGGCAACCTGCATGTGACACAGGGAGCTGGGCGCTTCATTCCCTGCAGTCCTTTCCCAGACTATGTCTACAAGCGCATTAAAGCCAGGAGGAAGATGGCCGAGATGCACGCCGTGCCCAGAGGAATGTATGACGGGCCTGTGTTCGATTTGACAGCCACGCCTAAAGGCGGTACTCCTGCAGGCTCTACCAGGGGATCCCCCACCCGGCAGACGCCTCCCGTCAGGAATCTCCATCAATCTGGATTCAGCCTGTCAGGTACCCAGGTCGACGAAGGTGTTCGTTCAGCAAGCAAGCGCATTGTAGCGCCCCCTGGAGGACGCTCCAATATAACCTCCCTGAGTTAAGCACCCAAGCGGGGAAGGAAACACCAATATTCAAGGGGGAAAATGGTACATTGGTATTTAAGAAGGAAAAGCAATTTAAAACCGTTCAGAGCTGAAGAATCAATAAGCCTCAAGCCTTATGTTTCACAAACGCTATTTGCTACCTAGCTTTTAAAATATTGCTTTGGTTTCTGTTTATGCATAGCCTTAATTTTTTTCTTTTTCATTTTTACATGCATGCAGATCTGACAGGTCACTAAGTTAAGAGTCTGTAATATACGTGTTGAGTGCTTGTGTGATGCCGCATCGTAAGGAGGGGGCGGAGAAAGCTGGGATGACCGTGGCATGAACGAACTAGCTAGGCAGGTTATTCAGAAGGAATCGGCGGGAGGGTGGGGTGGAAGGGTTGTGGGGAGGGATCGTGGGAGGTGGATAGGGGTAAGGTGGGTCTGTGTGTTGTGTCAATGTTCATCTGTTTCCACTCAATGCTGGTCAGACATGGCTGCCTCCGTCTTGTGTTGTGAGGCCCATCGGGAAGCTCAGAGTCATCTCTGTAACAGCTCTGTTATATCGCCTCATGTAAGACTTTATTACTTTGTACATTTTATTAAAAAACACAAAGCAACTGTTCCTTCCAAACAAAAAAACAAAACAAAAAAAACAGCCCTTTCAGCAAGGCAGGGGGATGGCAAGAGCGTCCGACCACACAGCTACCGCTGGGATGCTAAGCCGAGGCCCAGTGAAATGAGACAGGGATGGATTGGCAGCAGCAGGGTTCTGCCTGCTTATGCCACGCTGGGATCCTTGGGCAGAGGCCATGTGGGGACACGATGGCACAGCACCGGGGCTGAGATACAGGTCGCGGGTTCGAACCTCGCCCGGCTCAGCTGGGACTGGAAATCTCTGCCTCCTCCAATGGTTTGGTGGCCAACGTGCGGGCGCAGCTCAGCGCCCGGGTGGCAGGGGGCCACATTGCAAAGACAAAATAGCCTCCTTGGTGGCAGGTTCAGCAGAAGCCACGGAGGGCAGGAGGAGGTGGGTTCCACCTTCCACACGTGAGGCACCAGGAGGCGGCGGGGGGTGTGGAGGGGAGGCCTGGGCTGGGCACCTGGAATTTTGGTCTCCATGGCTGCCGAGCTGCCCAGCACTTTGAGACATGACAGCTCCTCCAGCATATCCCGGATCTGGGTTCCAGGACGCTCTTAGGGGCAATGCACAGACCCTGCTCCCCGTAACCTACAGAGACACCTGGCAGGTGTGGGGACAGGAAGGCTGGCCAGCTGCAAAGCCACCAGGTCCTTCAGGCCATGAGCGCTGGGGTGCTCCTGGCATTTCTCAGACCCTGGTGTCATTTGCAGATGTGCTCAGCACTGGCCTCCCTCTGCGCCCGCTGAGATCAACACAACGGCTCCCTCCCACCCCCCATGGGAGCAGAGTTAGGCCGACGCTGGGTGCTCTGGACAACCCCACCCAGCGTGTCCCCTCCTCGCCAGGCCTTTGGTGGGCAGCGAGCCCCTGTAGCTGGCACCTACAGGAGAGCGGTTATGCATGGGGGTGGGGAGGGAGGGAGGGTCCCAGGGTACCTTGACGTAGTGATCCTTGGAGCCGGTGACGACCAGGTCATGGTTGCTCGCGGTCTGGTTCACAGTCAATCACATCACAGGCCCGATGTGGCCGGTCAGCTTCCCAATAGGCTGCAACCTACAAGCAGGAGCCCGGGGTGTCAGGGTCTGGGGTGCGCTCAGCTGGAGGCGCTCGTTCCTGCAGGCCCTTCGCTGGCCCAGTCTCCAAGGCTCCCAGCAGGGACCCTCCCAGCCCCAGGCCCCTCTCCACCATCCCAAGCAGAAGTGGGGACCTCGGGCTCCGGGGCGCAGAGCACGGAGCAATCTCGGGGATACCACATCCCTCAGCACCATGGGCCGTGACTGTGGCCTTGGGCTAGGGGCAGGGAGCTGGGCTCAGATGCGGTGTCAGGGGGTGACCGGCTTGTCCACCGATCTCCTAAGGCAGGGGCGGGGAAAGCTACGGCCCGCAGGCTGGATCCAGCCCGTTAGTTAATTTCATCTGGCCCGGGGCGCCCCCCCCCCCCACCCGCTGCAGGGGAAGCCCCAAGCCTCCACGCCCCCCTGGCAGGTAAGTGGCCCGTGATTGATTTTTTCTGTGGGTCAATGGCCAGTGACAGAGAAAAG